AATCTCTGAGAAACTGCTGGGGTGGGAGGAGAGGGCATCCTCCTGGTGGTCTCTTTGTTTGTTTCCCAGGCCAGGCTGAGCCTTCACCTCCTGACCCTGTGGGAAGTGCTAGTCCGGCCTGGGCTCTAACTAGGAGGGGCCCGAGGAAGGCAGTCTGGAGAGAGCATGAGATTCAGTCAGACAGGGCCCTACCAGCTGTGCCATCTCGGGCCAGTCACTCTCTCCAAGCTGAAACCAGCCCTGCTCAGGTCGCATGGCTCCTGCATCAGTCAGGAGAGAGGATGGAGGTAAGAGGGCGCCATAAACAGAGTCCACAGAAGGCTCAACAACATGTATCATTGAAGTCATTCTCTTGCTGAAGTCACAGCTGAGTACTGAGTACTTATTAAGTGACTACTGTGAACCCGTGTGCTCAGAATTTGAAACCACAGGAAGCTGGTGACCTGCAGGGTTTAGGCTGTTTTGGTGGCCACTGGATCAAGAAGCATTTCTCCTGTCCTCCTTACCTCTGTGCTCCTCCACCCCCCTCCTGGTCCAGGGACTAGGTTAAATGTATTCATTCAACAAATATGTACTGAATACATGTGTCAAATCTGTGCTAAGCACTGGGGTTCCGTGTTGAACTGGACAGACAGGGAATCTGGCTTAGAGCCCAGTGCTGGGGGAGGGGAACAGACAAAGAATAAACAAACAATACCAAACAAAACTAGTGTCGGACCTTGGAAGTGCTGTGGAAGAAATGAGCAGGGTCCGTGTCGGTGGGTGAGTGGGGAAGGGTGTCTCGTGTAGGGAGGTAACAGACGATGATGTTGGGACATGGTGGTTTCCAGTCAGGGTTCCAAAGCCACAATGACTTCACCTCTTGCTAGGTGTTCCATCTTGGGCTAGCTGATTAACCCCTTCTGAGCCTCAGTTTCGGTTTCTCCACCTATAAAACAGGACTAAATATCCAATCTGCTTCATAGGATTGGTAGGAGGGGTACATTTGACAATGCAAGCACATTATGATAAGCACTTACTAAATAATAGCCTGGCTGGTGTGCTCAGTGGTTTGAGCACTGTCCCATGGACTGAGAGGTCCCAGCTCAATTCCTGGTCAGGGCACAAGCCCAGGTTTCAGGCTTGATCCCTAGTGTGGGGAGTTCAGGGGGCAGCCAATCGATGCTTCTCTCTTACATCGATGTCTCTGTCTCTCTCTCCTTCTCCCTTCCTCTCTATCTAAAAATAAATCAATAAAAAATATATTTTAAAAAATATTTGCAGCCCTGGCCAGTTTGGCTCAGCAGTTGGAGCGTCAACCTGCGGACTAGAGAGTCCTGAGTTCAGTTCCCGCTAGGGGCATGTACAAAAAAAAAAAAATATATATATATATATATATATGTATTTGCAGAATTGAAATGGCACCTTGCCTTGACTCTCTATAATCCAGCTCTTGTACTTATCCTGTCAGAGACTCACTAGGGAAGGAGTTCATTCAATGAATGATTACACTAATGGCCCAACGCTACATGCACGACATGCTTTACACGCTTAGGACTTACAGCACGCCCATCAAGTAGGTACTGTTCTCTGTTTCCATTTTACAGTGGGGGAAACAGAGGCTTCAAGATGCTAAGAGCCTGATCTAATATGCCCAGGTAGTAATAGAGGAGGCTCCAGATTCTGCCCCCTGGTGGCCTGACCTCAGAGCCCCAGCACTCACATATACCACACATTGCTGCTTACCTCCAGAGAGGGTCCAGATGGCCTGATGGGAAGCCTTTGAGAACTTTGAGGGACTTTGCCCCCCACCCTCCAGCCAGCTGGAATGGCCCTCAACAGTTATCTCCCACATCAGGGAATCTGTCGGTCAGCCTGTCTGGGGCAGGGGAGTGAGAAGGTGTCATTCCCTTCCTGGAAAGAGAGCACTTCTGGTCCTTTGTAGGAAACACATCCTGGATGAACAACTGCCTTTAAAAAATTAGAATGATGACTGTTGGCCTCTGTCCTGAGGAGGTGACAGGGACAGATTTTGCGAGGGTGCCAGAGCTGGAGAAAGTTCAGAGATGGATGGGCTTTGACAGCCACTCTTGCCGGTCAGAGAGCAATTCCAGGTCTCCACAGGGCTCTGGGCCAATACACATCAGAAATGAGCTCTGTCTGCAGCCCGGACCCTGGGAAAAGCAAGACTGTTATTTGAGAGGTTTTTTAAAGTCTTAGTACAAGGTACATGTTCACCCCGCCATCTGTGGGGAAGCTTTAAGGCTAAAAGCACAGGTTTGGGTAACAAGCCATCCCACCCTTCTCATACTGGCTGTTTCCTGTTGTAAATGTGTGTCCTTGAGCAAGTTACCTTGTTCCCTTCGAACCTCTGCTTTCTCATCCCCGAAGTGGGGACAATGATAAAGTCAATGTAACGATTAGCAGAGTGTCTATTGCATTAGCTGCTCAAGAAATAATGACTCTGATGGGTCAAAGAAAAATTGCTGATTGTCAGATTGTCCAGCTTTTTCTTGTAAGGCTAAGAGTGATCATTTATACTCTTTACATGTCAGAGTTGAAAATGGAAGTCCAATGTGTGTTTAGGGATTCTCTATATATTCTAATGTTTGCTTTATTTATTTTGTATATTAAATTTTTTCTGTCAAAAATATTAACTATTGTTATTAGCACTTATTTTAACTGAAACGTTTATTGAACACCTACTGTGTGCCACTTAGTACTAAGGGACATGGGATGAATAAAGGCGTATCTTTATTTTCAAAAGTCTTCTGGTCCAATATGGGAAGTAGATATATTATCTTTTCTGTCCCTTCCCCAGTCCTGGGGATAAAATGCTCTGTGCTGAATGTCCCCTTTTAAACAGGAACCGCCTGGCTTCTAGGACACGTGCACATTTGGGAGATCTGGGTTTTGGGGGGGCTGAGTCCTATACCTCTGTCTTGCTACCAGCACCTCCTCTGTGTTGTGATTCTTGGTTCCCATGTCCTTGTCAGGACATGTTAGTCCCACAGCACTAACCACAATCCATCATTGTTTTTTATTTATATATTTGTAACCTAGGTTAGGGTGCCTTCTGCCTCTGAGGAGGGGTCTGATGCAGAGGGCTAGGGCTGACGACACCCATCCAGCAAGCCCCCAGGCTGGGGAAGCTGGGTGACAACCATACTAATATCCAAATGCATAAGGCTTTACAAATACACCAGGTTTTGGAGCTTGCAAAGCATTTTAGGATTTGTTTCATTTAATCTGCATGGAAGGAGGTATCTTTAGTCATGTTTTACACATGAGGAAACTGAATAGGGATAGGTGGGTTCCAAAACATAACTAGAACCCCAGCCCACCCAGGTTCTCAAAGCTGTCTGATAAGAATTACGGGGGTACTTGTTAAACATGTAGAAAAAGCCCTCTCTTCAAATTCTAATTCTGAACGTCTGGACTGGGACTCAGGAATCAATAATTTAACAAACACGCCTGGTGATACTTATCTTTGGGCAAGTCCGGACACAGAACCATTTACTGATGTATTTACTTAGCCAAGATTTATTGGGTCCCAGCTATGATCCATACTGTGGGGAGAACACGATGAACATGACCGTCCCCAGCCTTGAGGAACTAGCAGTTGGTTGGCTGAGCAGACTGCCCAGGTCCCATGGTCTGTGCAAGTCTGCCATCCAGGTCTCTCCTGGGCAAGGTCCCTTCCTGCTGGGTGGGACTGGCTTCCAGCCCAGCGCGAGTTGGAGCCTGCTGGGCCTCCTTCCACTGTCTAACACCTGCCCCGGGCTGAGTCGGTGGTTCCTGGGAGCTGGAGGCATCCTGTGAAAGAAACCAAGGTGTGCAGGGCACACAGTGTTTCAGTGAATGCTAACCAACTGCTAATGTGCTTGTTGGCTAGGAAAAAGGGGAGGGTGAGCGGGGGACACGCCAGTGTGGAGGGAAGCAGTTCAGGCCTGACAAGGGGCAGGGATTTACATTTCTTTAAAGGTAATTCCAAGGTGGACCTGATTTAGCACCTGGAAAGGAGGCAAGGCTGGGATCCCTCTTGAGCTGATGTGGAAAGCAGGACCAGAGAGCCAGAAGTGAGAGGTCCTGAGCTAAAACCCAGGTCTCCCGGGGGAATGGCCAGGGCAGACAGGAACTGCAGGCATGAATATCATGGGTAACACCTTTTTCCTGAAATCACTGGGGTGATGTGTGCCTGTGAAGGGAAAAGCCTCATGCCACCCAGGCACGCCACTTGTGGGGGCCAGGACCACCTGTCAGCTATGCTCTGGTTCCAGCTTCAGCTGATCATCTTTTTCTGATGGAGAAGTCCGGTCTTCATCCTGGTCACTCCTGGCCTCTGTCTTTCCCAGGAGAGCACTTACATATTTGAAGCAGGACCCCGAGGGCCCTGGTCTGGAGCTCACCTTCTTTGTTCCAGCAACTTTGAGTACCCAGTAGTTTCCCTCCAGATGGGCCCTGCCAGATAAGGCCAGGGGTGCTCCCAGAGGCCGTCTGGACAGTGTCGGGAAGGCTACACGAGTCAGGCTAGGCTGAAACAGCACACATCATTGTGGGGCCACACCCTCCCTGGTAGACACCAGGGTCCACCACCATTCCCTACCTGCTCCTTGTTGAGCCTGACATACATTTGGAGGCTGGAGGGACGGGAAAGGGCAGGAATACTACGTGAGGTAGAGTACTGAAGCCACAATTCTGACCTGGGAGTTTGCAGGCGACAAGTCTGCTCAGTCTCAGAAATAAGACCAAGTGCCAGGGTGCCCAGACCTGGCAAACTAGATGGTCCATGGACACTTAGCTACCTCTGGGGGCTATGCGGGTCTCCTCTCTACCAGGCTCAGGCCCCGCCCTCCCGAGTAGGGGGGTCTCTCTGGGGGACACCCGGGTGTGTGTGTGTGTGGGGGGGGGCGTGTATAAGATCTTAACGCTTCCCCCAGGGAGGTAGGGCGGGGCTGAGCGGCTGCGAAGACCCAGGATAAAAGGGCGGAGACGCCGCTTTTAGGCCCGGCCAGCCCACCATGCACGCCCACCGGCTCCCCGTCCTCCTCCTGCATGTCTGGTGGGTCCTGCTCCAGGCGGGCATCCCCGCTGTAGTCCCTGTGCCCCTACACACAAGGGAGCAGCCCTCGTCGCCGTCTCCTCTCGCCTATATGCTGAGCCTCTACGGCGACCCGCCCCGGGCGGACATCACCCGCAGCCTGCAGGCGCAAGGTAGGCTGCCCACCCCGCTGAGCACCCGGGGCACCTCGGTCCCGACCCACCTCCGGCCCCCGGAAGGGCACTGAGACGGCCAGGCTGCGGCTCGGTGGTGGGGACGCCGCCGTTGAGGACGTCCCCGCGAGCTCCGAAGGCACGTCGGGGGGCTGTCTCCACGTCTGCATTGGCTAGGGCGCAGGGCTGGTAGGTGGCGGATGGTGGCGCTCGGCGTGTGTCCGGGCCAGAGGCCTGTGGTCCGGGGCTTGGTTTAGTGCGGCAAAGCGCCGCACGGTACGTGGGAGCCTGCCTGCGCCACTTCTCACTTTGAGGGTTTGGGAGCGTCATCTCGGGCGCTCCGGTTGGCGCCTGTAGAACAGGAATAGCAGTACTTCCCTTGTAAGTCTGAGGGCTGGATGACAAAGCACCGAAAAACGCTTAGCCCAAAACCAGGAATAGCGATAGATGGTCGTTAGTTTTGCTACAATCATTTTGTCCTGTCGAACTTGTTTCTTTTCGCGAGTGAGGGTGAATAGGTACCCGATGTGGCTTTGACAGTGTCTCAGGGTGGGAGCAGGCTTCCAAACTGGGTCTCACGTATGTTACATCAAGCATTAGGGTTCAGAGATCTGGGGTTAGAGATTGGACACCCCCCAAAGTCGAGAATTGAGGCAGGTTTGGGTATTCGAGGCCAGGCTGGGGGGGGGGGGGTCAGTGTCCCGGGTAATACTGGGTTCAGGGCATAGATTTGGAGGGGTCGGGTGACCGGGGATTTTCACCCTCGAAGACCGTACAGCGTGTCCTGGGCACCGGGCGCGGCAGGCAGGTGGATGTTGGGTAAAGGGAGCCCGCGCAATCCACATCCTGGCGCCTGGAGTGTGCGGGGACTCCTGCCGCCCTGTGCCTCCCGCCACTTGCCGGGGCTAGACGGCCCTCCCCAGGGCCGAGGCGAAATCCACATCCGATAATCTGATCTGACTGGCCACCCGCTGGCCACCTGTGGGGGCTCCTCGGTTCCTGGCCTGCCCAGTCTCGGGTCAGACAGCTGGTGACCCTCTCCGGAAGGGTCATCTGGAGACCAGCCAGACTTGGGAAACCCGGGGAGCGGCGCAATCTGAAAGTTACTGGAGTGCTCTGCTCCGTCGGCAGAAAACTGCGGGGGCTGGGGCGGGGTTTGAGGGTGGGCCAGCTGGACCACGCGGGGCGCACTTGCCCAGTTCCCTTTCTCCGCAGAGTTCCCGAAGACTGGTGGTGATTCGGCAGTTCGGGAGCGTGGAGAACTGGGTTTTGGTCCCTCAAACCCTGTTTCCCAATTCCCCACGAGTCTCTGGCATTTCATTTGATTCTCTAGTTTCCTCTTTTGTAAAACTGGGAGCTGGCTTTCTTTCTTCCTCATTTGTGTGTGTATGGTAAAATATACATAACAAGAATTGACCACTTCACCCATTTTTAAGTGTAAGGTGGCATTAAGTACATTCACATTGTTGTGAATTGCTTCATTTTTTAAACTGAAGAGCCTGCCGCCTGGAGGGAGACCGATGAGAAGGGATGTCCTGAACCGGCTCCTTCCTTTCCTGGGTTTATTTCTAAGTTGCAGCAGGATGACATGAAATGGGTGTTGTGTGGAGTTTTACCAAACAGGCTTTGCATTTGTGTCTGTCACTGTTTAACCACTTTCACATGGATGTTAGTTTCCTCATCTGCAGAATGGTGATAAAGATGGCGAGGATTTAAAGAATACAATGTTTATAAAACACTTGGCATGAGGACAGCCAAAATAGCATTTATTAAATGGGTGATAACTTTTTTCTTAGCTTTCTTCAGGCATTAGTGACCCCCCCAAAAGATTAGATACCCCTATTCTAAAATGAACCAGAGCCAGATCTAAAAGAACCTATCAGCGCCGTGTCCCAGGGAGCCTTTGGCTGGGAGTGGGGTTGTGGAGTCTCAGACTCTCCCAGCAGGAAGGAGTAATTTCCCTGCCCTCCCTCCGTACACACTGCCAATCCGGGTAAGAGATGACTTCGTTCCCCTGTCCAGGCCCCTCTCTGCCTTCATTTCTAACTGTGGACGTGGGCAAAGGCAGTTGATGCTTGCACTTCGGTGGTTGTACTACGTAAAGCACTTTACACACATTCTCAGTAAATCACATCCCGGTGAGGTGGACACTGTCACCACTTCCCTTTTACAAAGAAGGAAACTGAGGCCAAGAGAAGGCCTCAAATAGTAACCTGCCCAATGTTAAACAGCAAATGGCAGGATTTGAACCATCCCTGGAGCCAGCAGAGCCCCTACTGGTAACCACTCAGCTGGAATGCCTTCCTGTAAAAGGCCATTTGTAGAAACTTGAGAGAATGTTAACTCCTGGTGCTTGTGGCCTGAGTTGCTACTTGTCCCACCTACTCCCCAGGTGGCCAGGTGGTACTCCAATGGGCGATGGGTAAAGTCAGCCTCCTCCCCACACCTCTGGGGAGAGTTGCCAGTCAGGGGCCGGTTATTGCCCCCTGCAGGTGCAAATGAGGAGGGAAGTGGAAATAAAGTGAAGAGGAGCAGCTAGGGATGGGCTGGGAGAAGCTACCAGAGGCTGAGCCTGGGAATTGCCCCTTCTGATGCAGGCTGGATTTCCAGAGAAATTCACGTACTGTGACCCAACATGCTCTGTGAGACAAATTAAAAAAAAAAAAAATTGCTATATGGTCTGCCCAGAAGGACCTCAGTCGGAGGTCATCATACCTCCAGGATCTATGCATGAAAGGGTTACTGTTTTTATTTCTAATGAATAATCCCTGACTTTTATTTAGCAATAAACCCTCAAACTTCTTAATTTCTTTGGATCTGATAATGCAGAGATGGGTAAGGCATTGCCATTGCAAAGAAGAAACTGGGCTGGAAAAAGTTAAATATCACTTTATAAATATCATTTATAAATCCATGCCATTCCAAGACATCAGACCAAATTAGTCCAGGACTAAAATAAATGGAATGTGCTTGTCATCCATTTTGGGCTGAGCTGTGCCGAGTGGTGGAACAGGGCTCTGTGTGTTCCTGCGTGTCTGCCCTGGGTGGGTGGGTGACCTGGGGCAGCAGAGGGTGAGCGCCCTGCAAGCACAGAGGAGAAACCGCTGGGTGGAAAGTGTGAGGTCAGTGCAAATTCAAGCTTAGATGCCTTCAGAAGCCCATTTGTAAGGTTGCCAAAACCTCCGGAGTTTCTGCCTCCGTCTTGAGGAACTGGCCAGGAAGAGGGTAGCCAGGCGTCGGTTTCTGTCGCCCCTGCCTCCTTGACTGAGCCTTTCCATAATATACATGCCAACTTCATGGTGCCTGTGGAACAGGCCACCCTTTCCAATGAGGAAACAGCCTGGGAAGGTGACTTGCTCTAGGGTCAGAGGGTGTGTTGGAAGCCTAGGTTTTAGGTCAAAAAGCTCAGGGCACGGCCTTAGATTCTTTATGTGTGTGTGGGTGGGTAGGGGACTCATTCAAGTTTTACCAATTGTTCTCTGGTTTGGGGGAGTGGCAGAACAGTGATGTGGAATTTGGGCTTTTCAGTTAGGCGAATCCAGGTTTATTCTTGGTTCTGCCACCTTCCAGGAATAACACCTTGGGCACGTAATTTAAGTTCTTTGAGTCTCAATTTTCCTCATCTCTAAAGTGGGTTCAAAACATTCCCAACTCATAGGGTCAAGGTGAGGATTAAGAAAAATGATTCAGCCCTGGCCGGTTTGGCTCAGCGGTTAGAACGTCGGCCTGCGGTCCAGAGAGACCCGGGTTCGGTTCCCGCTAGGGACACGTGCCTTGGTTGCAGTTTGTCCCCAGCCCTGGTTGGGTCGTGTGGGTGGCAGCCACTCGATGTGTCGCTTTCACGTCGATGTTTCTCTCTCTCTCTCTCTCTCTCTCCCTCTCACTCTATCTGAACAAAATATCGAAAAATGTCCTCGGGTGAGGATTAAAAAAAAAAAGAAAAGAAAAATGATTCATATAAGGTGAGAGCTCAGACAGGAGCTATGGTTGTTGTTACAATGACTGAGACTGTGGAAGGTTCCCCACTCACCCTGCTTCCTTCCTGTTTTTCCCCCACCCAGACGTGGAGGTGGATGGGCAGAACTGGACCTTTGCTTTTGACTTCTCCTTCCTGAGTCAAAAAGAGGATCTGGAGTGGGCTGAGCTCCGCCTGCAGCTGTCCAGCCCTGCGGACCTTTCCCCTGATGTCCCCCTCTCCGTTGAGATTTTCCACCAGCCAAAGCAGGAGGCAAATCAGGAACCAGCCGACTGCCTGGAACGTGTTCGGATGGAACTGTTTACTGTCACTCTTTCCCAGGTTACCTTTTCTTCGGGCAGCGTGATTCTGGAGGTGACCAGGCCACTCTCCAAGTGGCTGAAGCACCCTGGGAAGCTGGAGGAGCAGATGTCCAGTTTGGCTAGAGAGTGTCGGCAGCAGCCTCGCACACCACCTGTCAGCAATGTGCTCCTTCTGCTCTACTCCAACCTCTCTCCCGAGCAGAGGAGGCTGGGTGTCTCCACCTTGCTGTGGGAAGCTGAGAGCTCCTGGCGGGTCCAGGAGGGACAGCTCTTCCGGGAGAGGGGCAGGAGGCAGCCTCGACATCACGTGCCTGACAGTAGCCAACTGTGTCGGAAGGTCAAGTTCCAAGTGGACTTCAACTTGATTGGATGGGGTGCCTGGATCATTTACCCCAAGCAGTACAATGCTTATCGCTGTGAGGGCGAGTGTCCTAACCCTGTGGGGGAGGAGTTCCATCCGACCAACCATGCATACATCCAGGTGTGATGCCAAGGCATGGGGGAGGGCGGGCAGTCTATGGGGGAGAAGTGGCCATACTGCCAGATTGGGGGCCACAGGACTCCAGCTCTGCTATTGAATGACTGTGTTCATTCATTCCTGCAGTTATACAAGCACCTATCCTGAGCCAGGTCCTAAGGATATGGAGATGACCAATGACAACATCCTCAGAAAGCTGACCTGGAGTCCTAGCCCCTGGGTAGCCTTGAACACATTGCTTTCCTGGAACTTTTTCCTTGTCTTTTCATAAAATTAGAGGTGGAGGGTATAGACTGGAGTGTCTCAACTACTCCCCAACCCTGACATACTAGGAAAGGAAGTTCAAAAGCTGGAATTTTGGCATAGAGAGGCCTGGGTTTGATTCCCACTTATTAGCTATGCAATATTAAGTTGCTTACTCTCTTTGAGCCTCAGTTTTCCCACCTATAAAATGGGGATAGCAGTGCCATATTTCATAGGGATGTTATAAGGTTAAATGAGATGATATGTATACTGTATGTATAGTAGTTGGCAGATAACAGACATGTTCTATGTTGTGTTATTATTACTAGAAGTCTGTGCTTCACTGATGAAAGGGGCCTCATTTATGGATCCATGGTTGAGATAATACTATTCCAGCCACTGTACTTTTGCTGCCTAAAATAGGAATTGGACACCCATTTTGCAGAAGTTAGATAAGGCCATAGGCTACCACCAGGTGTCACTAGTCAGCCTAAGTTCTAGAAGGTGGTGGAGGGAGAGGAATGGAAGGAGAATGAGATGAAAGAATAGAAGCTAATATAGTGACCCTGATATTATCGTAGCCTTACCTTGCTCTCAAAGGTCATGGGACCAGTGTGTTTTTATTTACTCTAAGAAGCCTAGACAGAATCTCTTGGACCTAGATTGTATCCTCCATGCCAAGCCCCAGGCTGGGTTCCGAGGCTCTGGAGAGCATGTGAGCTGAGCTCACACAAGGGAGGCACTGGTGGGGGCCAGCTCCCTAGAGACCTGTCCTGGGCAAAGGCCTCCAGGCCCCACTTCACTCCACCAGCCCACCTGCAGCATGATCAGAAGAAACCACAGAGACCAGACAGAGCCAGTTGCCAACTCTGACCTAAAAAGATATTGCTGGACCACAGGCACAGGGCCCCGGTTCCAGAATGCCACGGGGTTGTTACCTTTCTCCCACTATTTGCCCTTCTTTGGGCAACAAAGCAAATCCCACAAGAATTTCCACATGAGTCTTTTCTGCCTCATATTTTTGGAACTAAACCAGGAGTTTCTTAGAATATTTTATAAACTGGTATTCACTCTAGACTATAATAATAAGAGAACATATAAAAGTTAGCTACTATTTTACCCAGATAGAGCTTTTGGAATCTTCTGTTTAAGAGATGCGTAAAAAAAGAGAAAGTGATTTTAGAAGTTAGAGTCGATGATGTATTGCAATGCTGATTCCTTTATGAAAACAACTTGGAGGGTAGGGAGATTAACCAAGGAATGTATATGCACATATGCACAACCCATGGACACAGACAGTAGTGCAGTGAAGGCCTGGGGGAGAGGGGAAGACATCTGTAATACTTTCAATAATAAAGGTAAATTTCTTTTTTTAATTTCTATTTTTGCACCCAAATACGTTTAGACGCTCTGCATTTTTCACCCTTTACCCAGAAGTGACACTATTCTGACCTGACCATTGGGACATGAATTGACCCCTTTCCTTCCTTTCAGAGTCTGCTGAAACGGTACCAGCCCCACCGAGTCCCTTCTACCTGCTGTGCCCCAGTGAAGACCAGGCCATTGAGCATGCTGTATGTGGACAATGGCAGAGTCCTTCTAGACCATCATAAAGACATGATTGTGGAAGAATGTGGGTGCCTTTGAGGAGATCCTGGGGGGCGCTGGATCTGCCTGCACCCCGGAAGGCTGGGAGTCTCCTGGAAGACACGCTAACCATCTGATCCAGAGAGGAGAAGCAAAGTGGGGAGGCTGCTCTGCCCACCCGATCTGAGGAGGAAGGCTGCCCACCTGCAAACGAAGGCCCTCGGGTCTGGCTGAGTGCGGAGGCCGCCAGGAGAGGGAGCGGGAAGCTGTGAAGCGGCCTTGCTGGGCTTTCTCTTACTGAGCAGGCAGTGGTGAGTGAAAGCACCGACGGGATCTCCGCCTGCCTTTTTTAAGCCCCGGAAAGCGTACGCAAGTTAGGACATATATGCATTTCTGAGGTGGGACAAGGTTGTCTATAACGTTTATGTATTCTTGAAAGTGGTCTTTGACACCCAGCCCCAAATATTAAGCACCGCTGTGTTAAATTAGTCGGTGGGCTCTCGTTGCCTCAGGCTGGGTTCGGGGACCCCCATATCTTTCCAGCTGGCCAGTGGCAATCTGTTGGCATTGTCCAGGCTCCCTGAAGTGGATCTCTGCTAATGAGCTGTATAATCAATAAAGCCTTTGTATAGTCCTTCTAGGCCCGCTGGTGCCTTTGAAGGGAGAGGCAGGAACTCGTCCAAGGGAAGTGGCCACTTTGGACTACAGAAGCTGAAGCCCTCAGACACCCTCCAAGTCAGTCTGCTTTGGCAGACACAATCCGAGTCTATTAAAGTTGGTGACAGTTCACTTCCATCTCTTATGCTTGCTATTAATGAGGCCCCTGAGCTTCCTATCCAGTAGGCATGAAGGCCCTGCGCTGAGTGGCAGATTTGGGTTATGGTCACAGCTCAGCCACAGAGAAGCTGTGACTCTTCTCCCTCAGGTGAGTAATGCACTGCTCAGCCTCATCCTGTGGCATGTAAGCAGGTGGGTCCTAGTCATTCCTGTGCAATGCCCATTGGCAGGCTCAGAAGAGCCGTGAGCTGTAAGCCCGACTCTCCTCTGGGTTTTATCCCATCTCCCTATAAAGCCTGCTAAGCCCAGGCCTTGCCATCGCTGTTATCTATCCTTTATCAGCTTTTGTCCAGGGTTCTAAGATTGCCTTAATTTCAGGTTCCTCGTAGCAGCACAGCAAAAGAACACAAGCTCTCGTAAGGAGTTCTCCCACCAAACACACACGTCTTTCTCTTCTGGATGAAAAAGACCCCAAGGCAGCAATTCTGCATTTCTCTTATCAGCATTGCGGAAACTGGAGGGGGTGTGTGTGTGTGTGTGTATAATTTTTTCTTTTGACAAGGTGAGGGGGTCATCACATTGGGAATGTGTGTCCACAGTCAATCTGTCTCTGCTTTCCCAACAAGCCCATTGACCTGGGCTCTAGCCTTTGGAAAATGATCCCAATCATGTGAGGACCCTTGCCGAGTTTAGACATGATTCAATTGCAGCCTTGGTTGGGTTAGGATAGTAATCCTGGCCCAGGCGGAGGTTGGCTAGGCTAGAGCCAGGCTTGGGCCTAAGAAATCTCAACACCCTGACTCAGCAACAAAGCCATCCAGATGCTCATTTCCTGGAGTGGAAACAGACCTGCCCTAACCATAATTCAGGATCACAATAGGATTCTGCATCTGCTTCTTAAAGAACAGTGGAGCTGGGGAGGCCCTGTGAGGTCAGCTTTTGTCCCATCCGCTTTCCTAAATGAGACCCCAGAGAGGCCTAGAGGCCTGACCACACAGCTAGGACTGGCAGGACCCAGGTCTGAGCTCTGGTCTTGAGCCCCAGGGGCACCGTCCTTAACAGCATCTAGCAGCCTTTGCTCCACTAGCTTTGGAACCAGACGTGTATCCCAGTTCTACTACCAAACTGAATTTCTTGGGAGAGAAAATCCCATCCTAGGCCTTTAGACTATCTTTACTAAGTAGGTACCCAATAGCTCTATGGCTGGGACCAGGAAAGCAAAAGGTCAACCTATTTGTGGCTACAGCTTGGAGTGTTCGGTTAGCAGCTCTGACTCAGAACAACCCTCACTGAGGATAAGGCATGGCCTCCCATCAAGCAGTAGACGCAGGCAGACGCAGAGGAGTTGAAACTGCATTTTGCTGTCCCCTGCTGAAAGCTCCATTCAGTGTCAGCAGCAGGGACATTCTGCTGCCTGATCGGAGGTATTTGGGGCTAAGCCTAGCAACACAGTTCCATGGTCAACCCTGTGTGCTGGTGAACTTTGTAAGTCAGAGGAAACAATGCCTCTGAGAACTGAGTCCTGCCTTAACCTGGGAGCCAGGAAGGGGCCTTATAGAACAGTCAGAGGCATTTTAACTTGCTCTGAAGGCAAAGGTCTACTTCTACTGTTTCTATAGCAGTGCCAAGTCAGTAGGTGAGTGGGAAAAGTCAGATAGATGCATTACTCTCCTTGGCTGGGGAAGTGGGCAGGCCTGGCAGCAGGTAGGGGTGGGGAAAAGGAAAGATGGAGAGAAGCAGAAACAGGTCACACGAGTTGGAAAGTGACGTGACTCATAGAGCTCTATAGTCGGGTTTGTCTCCATCTTATAGTTATTAGCTCAAAACCCTTACCCCTCTATCCTGAGTTGCCTTTGAGGTTAACATCCTACTTGCCTTTGAGGCAGAGTGAAGGATGTATGAAAGTGCCTTCAAAATTATCTGGCTTTGTCTTCCCTTACAGAGATAGTTTAGTCTTGGAGGTGCCACCACCAGATGGTGGCTGCAGTCAGCAAGCCTGCTCCATTCCCAAACTTGCATACTCTGGGGAAAAGGAGACCCAGCCCACTGAGCTCTGGTGTCATGCCCACTGAGCTGTGCTTGAGTCCTTTATCAAACTCAATGTACAAGATGCTGAGCTAGTGAGTAGAGACTCATCTTACCTGAGTCTCCCAACCTGGGAAAGACATTTGTCTTAACCTATTTTAGAGAAGGAAAGCCAGGCTGGGGGACTCCTGCTGGTGGGGATGCAGCTCCTGTGCAGCAGGGCTAGAATCCCGCCTCTTACTCCAAACCCATGCTAAGTCTCTAGGCTTCTTGAAGGGAACACATCTCAAGTCCACAGTTCGTCTGTGGACTTTTTACTGCACCTAAAACATTAAGGACAGAATTCTTGCTCTCAATACTAATATGTGAGTCTCTGGATTAATAATAGTAAGGAACCTGATGCCCATGCAGCACAGCCTGGTTTATTTTAAGACATTAGGCATGATGGATTCCTAACGAGTGCTCCCGAGAGGCAGAGGCAGCCCTCTTCAGGAAGAGCTGCTTGGGCTTCCTTAAGGGTGGCACCTAGTTTTCTTGTACATCCAGCCCCAGCATGTACTTTCACCTCCAAGCTCCTGGAGACAGTGGCACGTCACCGCCTTGCACACACTGGGCCAGATGGACAAAGGCAGTGCTCCCTGAGTGTTGCAAAGAATGGACACATGAAGTGGCCAACTGCCTTTCCCATCTCCCTCACCAGCCAAGACTCCCAGAATGTGAAACCAACAGAATTTCACCTGAAAATTTAAAAAGTTAATAGAACGCCAAGTTAATATTCAAGATCTTTATTGATTAACTATAACAGCAACCATTGGTGAAAATTTATTTTTTCCTCTAATTTCCAAACACCTGCTGGTTTGGAAAGACAAGTTAGACCAAAAAAAGAAAAAAACCTGATCACAGAATCACACAGGACTGCCTCAGGACTACACGGTGCCCTCTGCTATCCATCCATGACAGTGAAATGGATGAGAGGGGTCAGGGAACAACCACATCAAGGGGGATGAAAGGAAGATCAAAGAAAGAACTGGCAGTCTCTGCTTTTCCATTCAGAATGGTTGGAACTGGGCCACTGGTGTCACTAAGACAGAGAAGGGCATTTTTCAATATATAAAATATTTTAAAGATGCTTAAAATGGACACCTGAATATGAGTGTCCAATAGGCTCTCTGAGCCACCTTTAAGGTTTCCCCCTGGGTGGCAGAGGTCTCCTCACCAGATGGAGGGAGATGGGCTCCATCTTCAGGCGAGGAAAGGCACTGGCTCCCAGTACTCAGTGACTTGGACACACAGTAGGAGCAGAATGGCTCACCCGTATGTACAACTTGTCCCTTATCTCTACAGTGCTCCTCCCCTACTCTTCTGTTTCAAGTAAAAATTACCCTTGGTCGGGGCTAGGGTTTTTGCCTTAAATAAAATAATAAAAAAAAAGATTATAATGGGGCAAATATAGATATTCTGTGCTAGAGTCATGGAATTTTCTAAGTTTGAAGTGTCCGGGAATTCTGGTTTTAAGCACTGGCAAGAGTTCCCTTTGCATATTTCAGTGTAGCCAAATGATTATCGAGCATTGCAGCATCTCTCAGCCAGCCTCCCACTCACAGAAAGGTGGCAGAATTAGAGTTTAAATACCCCTGAAAATGTGTTTTCATCTCAGTATTTTCCAGCAGGCATCCATACAGTATGGTCTGCCAGGGTTGCAGGCAGAGGTTAAGCAAAGAGAAACCACAGACCGTCTGAACAAAGCCTTGAAAGACTTCTCCTCAATCTAAGCTTTGCCAAAAATATCGACTTCTAGGACCAGCACAAAGAAATAAATGTAAATTCTAGGAGAGAAAGGAGACATGAATGATTGCTTGAAAATAAATTGGTCTGTATCAATCATCCTTAGTCTTGTAAAAAATGTCTGTGAGCTAGCCTCAAGGAAACTCAATACTCAACTGGAAAATCATTACCAGAACAGGAACTGTCACTGGGGTATAAACATTCTAAAGAACCGAGACCCAATTGCCTCAAAATCTGATTTCATCTTTTCTTAAAAGCTGAGAGGTAAAGAACTTGGGGGATAGTGTGGTAACTACACCCCTTCAAGTCCAGACAGAAACTGTCCTCCCAAAGAAACAATGCTTCCTTAAAACAAATACTGCCCTCCTCGCAGAGGTCACGGGTGGGTGATTGGGTTTCGCAGATTAATAAACAGCTGCCCATAGGCATATAGTTCAGAAACAAGCCAAGAAGAGAAAGTTCTGACCCAAATAAAGGCACGGGGCCTCCTCTTAAAGGGAAATGCAAAGGGCTAAGAGCCCTGGCTCAAGCAGCCAAGATACTTGATACTCCATTGAGGATCCAAGATGGGGAGAATAGAAAAAGGTTGTTTCTGGGATATTGCTGCCAACATGATGAGCCCCTTACACCAGTGGCTTTGATTCAAAGCAGGTGCTTAACACATACTAACTGAATGATGGACTCTGGGAGCAAACCCCATACAAATCTAGCAGACTGTATTCTAATGGAAATGCTTGAATTGAGAAGGTAAGTTCTGAGAATCCCAAAGAGCTGGTAACCCAAACAACAAATATGGTCATCATCTTATGTTGACTCCACCTTAAAATCAGAAGGAAAAGCAAGATGTTTCCTATTTTGACAAGTACCTTCTCAAAACCAGCAGGTGCTTTAAAGATGAGCTCCTTACTTCGGGAAGAAATACCTTTTTCTTATAGCTTCCTCAGTAACAATGCTTTTCATTCAAGTCTACTCCAGAGCAAGCAGGGCTACAGATAAGAAAATGCTGGTAAGAGGCAGAGTGTAAATTCAGACAAGAATCTGCATCTTTGAGAAGTATGAAATCCAAAAAACTTGGTTGGGCAGGGGTGCCACAAACACAGCAGACATTCACTAAGAATCTGTTGAAATGACAGGCCTCACTTAAGTCTCTCTCAAGGGTGAAGACAGGACTGGCTCTCTTAAAAAAACCCATCTTCATCAGGAGGCCCAGGACTAGGTAGGCACACAGAGTTAACCTGTAACACAGGACTTTAAGGAACAATCAAGCACAGACATTTCCAATTCCCAGATATTTCCTATTTTAACAAGTAGCTTCCTGGGTGACACCTGACCCAAGTCTGTTTCAGCTGGTGTAGCTGAAGACCAGGTGTCAAGCATCGACTCCAGTGGACCTGGTTCAGAGGCTACTTCACCCAGAGTCTGAACTTAAAAGCAAGCAGGGCTACAGATAAGAAAATGCTGGTTAAGAGGCCAAGTGCAATCCATACAAGATGAATTCTCGTATGGCTTTTCTTCAGCTCAGGAACCAAATATCTAATTCATGTTTGCTCTCTTTGCTAGACAACCCTGACTCCAATTGTCAGCTTTAGTGGACCAGCTACAAGGATCCAATTCCCTTTATCAAATCCTGACTGGGGGAATAGCATGTAAGTGGTATTGAGTCTTACGGACACCAAGCATAGAACTTACAAAGCAGCATCTTTGGGCTTCTGGTAGTCAGGCAAGTGTATAGGTATTATGTTCTGCTGGGAACTGCCACTTCCTGCCACCCTTCTCAAAACCAGCAGGTAGCTGTCAGGAAACAAAGTCTGTACTGGTGACACACATCTCCAAGAACTTTTCAGTAGCAACATATCTCTCAATATATCACCTAGTTTAAACATACCCCCCACTCGCATTGGCCTGGTTTCATCCTCTGTTGGGGGTGAGGTGGTTTTGAAATATATCCATAAGATCTTTGATACTGTTCTGTTCAGTAGGTAGGGTCTAATTCTCCCCTTGAGTGCAGGCTGGGCTTAGTGGCTTGCTTCTAAGGAACAGAATAAACAAGTGAAGGTATATGCTTTCAAAAACTGTCATAAAAGGCACTGCAAATTCCTCCTTGTGTCCCCTTCCCCCTGGATCACTCAGGAGGAAGCCAGCTGCCATGGTGTGTGGACACTCACAATGCGCTACACAGAGATCCACATGGGGGAAACTGAGGCAGTCTGCCAACAGCCACAAAGAGAGGGAGCTTAGAAGTGGATTCTCCAGCCCCAGATGACCGCACACCCTGCCAGCATCTTGACTGCAACTCTCTGAGACCCCTGTGCCAGAACCAAGATGCTAAGCTGTTTCCAAATTCCTAACCTATAGAAACTAACAGATGATGTTTGCTCTTTTAAGATTTTAAATTCAGGGGTAATTTGTTACATCATAATAGATAATAGAGGTGGAAGGACAAAATTCTTGGCATGGAAGCCTAATACCTAGAAGCCAGTTTCTCTACCCTGTGCTCCTGAGAATGTGACAGCTATTTAAACAGAGTAAGAAAGTGGTGAGCTCAAGAAACCACACCATAAAGAACATAAAACCATGACAATGCATGTCTCCTGCTGGAATTTGGAGGAAAAGGTCATTTATCATTAAGATAAACTATCTCAAGTGCGGAAACATGGTTTCCTCTTAAAAGAAAAACATAAATGATCACTAAAATTTTAATAATTGTCTCACTTCAATGGTACACTATGGGTGTTCTCTCCCAAAGAAAAAGCCAGGGTAGTTCATTTAGTGCTTTATCTGTGAGTTTCCTTCCAAACATCCAGAAGTAAACCACCTACTAGATTCTGGCTTGCCTTGAAAACAATTCTATGAGGCAGGGCACAAAGGTGTCATCTACTGGACATTTATTTGTTGCCTTGTGAAATCAGCTTTAAAACACTAATTGATGATGTCAAAGTATTTCTAGTAGCAATGAATGGCCTTCAGGAAAGTACACCAAGCAGTAAGGAAGTCCTTGCAGAGAAGGCTAAGGGTTGGGCTGCTGTTGTACTATACAGCGGACAGAATACTAGAAACAAGACTTCTGATTAGGGGGCCATGTGCAGAGATTCCCCAAGATGACAAAAAAAAGGGGGAGAAATGGTATCGTGACACTACTCAAGCTGTCATGTTTTAATTCCATTCCCTACTGTTCGGTGAGAAAGCTGAGTTTTCATGTGTAATAATAAAAATCAAGAAGGGGGCGCTCTTCTGCTCACTGACAGACCAACTAGCTGTAGTTAGAGTCAGATTCCACAGAATGCCAAGGCTAAGGTGAAAGAATGAGAGCTTCATTCTTAAAGAACCATGCTCTCAGGGGACAAAGAGGTCCTCAGCAAGCTTCTTATGCAAATTACAATGCAACTTGAGATTTTCCAAGAGAATATAAAGCGAAATTTGGAGTTTAATTAAAATCAGAACAGAGATACAGTAAACAAACAAACATAACATACTTTTCTGATCATCAATTTCTAAGATTGAAAGCATCTCCAAAACTTTGGATGTCCAGCTTATTCCTGAGAGACATCAACCATCACAAAAGGTTTCACTCTTTGAAATATTCACATTTTATAGCAGAACACAGAACAAAATTTTTCAGACATCCTCCCTCTTTTGTCTAAGATGTTATCTGCAAATAGGGTCTTTTCATAGTCAAAAGAAAAACAAACAGCTTTGTTTCTTAGTCAATTGGCCTGTTACTCTCACCCTGGGTTTTGAACTCTCAATACAAGGATTCGGGGTACCAAATCTAACCAGAAATTCCCAGGACACCAGAGGCTACTTGTCTTTCTGTGGGGACAGAGGCATTAATCTTTCTAAGAGAGAAGTCACTCTCCTGGGATTACTGTGCCAGTCAACAATCAGTGGGGTGGCGGGGGTGGGGTGGGGTGATGACAGAGCAAAGGGTAAGGGAAAAGGAGGAGGCTTTCATGAATAACCCATGACAAGGCAGAATGGTCCAGCTTTACAAACCACCCACTACAAACGTCAAGCATGCACACCCAAAACTAGAGGTCCGAAGAAAAAAGCTAAGGGACCACAGGAGACAAAGAATGGTGACATGGAGCAGCAGACTCGCCTACAGACATTTTTTACCTTCCTAACACTGGAAGATGTGATTAAAAAGTTGCTGTTCAAAATTTACTGAAAACATATCTAAAAATAGGTCTGTAGTCATCTTAAAAAATAAAAGGTCAATCCTCAGATAAGAGGAGTGACAAATATTATCAGATACCAATATTTGAGGTATCTTTGATGTGTATTTGAAAAATGGCCTGGCAGAGAAAAAGGAAGGAGAGAGTGAGGGAGGAAAAGAAGGAGGAGGGAAGGGAAAGAAAGGAAAAAATCCAGAGTATAAGGGGAAAGGCAAGAAAATGGGGAGGAACACCTTTTGAAACCCATGCTTATCTATCTCAGCAGCCAAATAAATTAGGTCCACAAAGAAAAAAAAGTTTAGTTTTTTTAAGAGTATTCAGGAAGTCATCTTCAAACTAAAAATGTAAAGAACTATAATCTGGGATATTACAATGCTCACTGGACTGAAAAACAATGATCACTGACATTAGTTACTCAAATGGGCCAACACTCTTCCAAAATCATTCTTAATTATTATCTGCAGGACACTATTATCAGGTCTTATCCAAAGTGCTCTATCACTTGGTATGTTCTTCTCTGTGAGCAGTGACATCACCTTGGTGCTCAGAGTACAACAGGACAGGAAGCAACATGATGCAAGCAGGGAGGAACGGAAGAGGAAAGAACAGCTGATTAGCGATGACTCCCTCTCATGTAGAGAGTTTAAAACTTTTTGCACACATATGTTAAGTAAAGGAATGAGAAGATGAACTATTATATCAAAGACAGAAGACATTCCTCCCACAGGATGGAAGGGAAGTAGACCTCAGAACAGTGTCACAGGGTAGTGCTACCACTTGTATAATCTGTGCTGGTTCCAAGCACAAAACACCTCAAGGGACAAAAGAAAGCAGCTCTTTTCTTGTTATTTCCCTCTGGTTTTGAAGACCCCAAACCAGACTCTGTGGCACTGAACCATGGGTGGGAGACAGGGAGGAGAGACATGATAAGAACATGAACAAACTGAACCCACCAAACTTCTGTAACACTTCCCAAGACTTCCCAGCCAGCATTTGTTGGTAGGTTGATATTTGATTAGGGATTAAAAAAATGTGTGTGTGTGTGGTGGGGGGGAGGGGGGTTGGTTCTCAATATGAAAATGACCAGAGAAGCCAGTATTCAACTGTAGGCTGCTTAGTTCTACAGAAATATGCCATGGGTCTTCAATATAATCTTGCTAACTGGGAAGAGGAAGAGGAAACAGGGCAGGAAATGGTCAGATGAAGCTCATCTTGTCATCGTTTGGCACCCAGAGGAAGAAGAGGAGATGGAGGCTGCAATGGGGACTGCTGGTGCTGTCTCTTCTCTGTTTTCATTGTTGAACCTATTGGCCAAATCAGGTATACACAGGTATCAGTGTTGCTGTTATTCTTCTGATCCTTGCAGGACAGTTAGATGTCCATCTCAAACTGAGCATCATCCCCTAGTTAGAATGAAAAAGATAAAAAGTTTTACACAAAAAGGAAAAACAAAACAGCTTTAACTGTCATTTCCTCTGCAAGAGGGTCAAAAATTAATTCCAATTATCCCATTCTCTGCTGCCTTAAAACAATTATTCTGCTTTGCTTTGGCTGGTCTTTTTAATCTGGGGGAAGAAAAAATGGCAATAAAATCACTGATGGGAAGGAGCATTTGATAAAAGGATGCAAGTGAAAACTTTCGCAGTGTCACTTTGTCCACAGGTTGACCAAACAGGAATTCCTGGGGTGCTTCTTGCCATCTATCACATCAGCACACTCTTCTGGTGTGCTTAGAACTTTGACCCTGCTTTGAATTGACACTTTGTCCATTAAAAATTCATTTGGAATTTGAGGAGGCAGAATGCTGGCTCCTGCACAGGGAGGGGGTCAAGGAGTGCAACCTGAGGTGGACTTCAGGAGCTGGCTCTTTCCACCTCCCTCTTCTGCTTCCAGAGACAGTGAGGAGTCCTTACTAAATGTTTGTGTAGCCCAGCCAGTGTGGCTCAGTGGCTGAGCGTCGACCCATGCACCAAGAGGCTGTTGATTCGATGCCTGGTCAGGGCACATGCCCAGGTTGTGGGCCTGATACCCAGTGGGGGGCATGCAGGAGGCAGCCAATTGATGTTCTCTCTCATCAATGTTTCTATCTCTCTCTCCCTCTCCCTTCCTCTCTCTAAAAATTAATAAAAGAAAAAAGTATTTTAAATGTGTGTGTGTAGAGGCTATTTATTTAAGTATTATAGGCAGTCCTAGAAAATAGGGGAAAAAACATATTGCTTTTCCCCACACCATAAAAAGGATGGAAATGGGTTATTAAATTGTTTTGGGTTTTAAAAGTGTGTGTGTTTTCCCTAGTTCCACAAAACCCAAGTTCAAAGAGTCATTTTTGGAATTTACCATTCCTTAATTTTAGATTTTTCATCTGAACCCACTAGATGAAATTTGATTATGATTTAGAACCTAGTGTTTCCAGAACAATTCAATTAACCTTGGTGAGGGGAGTAGGAGGAGGGGGCGGCTTAGAGACATAACTAACTGAACATTAGTTATAACTGAAGAATCAACATTTTCAACCTACAGCTGACTGACATTCAAATTTCCAGGGCCACCCTCTTGGTTTCCAATACTAGTATTCTCTTACCAACTGCATGCTTCCTGTCATGATTGTTCAAGTTGTTCAAATTGTTTACTTCTACTTTGGAGTCTTCAATTAAGGTGCCAGGACTGGTGACTCCTGGGATATTGGGCAGATGGCAGGGTGGGGTCTGAGCCATGGGAGAATTGCGACGATCCAACAGAAACTTTCGATCATAAATGATTCGGGTTCCTGGAAAACATTGTTGGACAGAGTTTGAAACAAATTAAGAGGTTATCAACATATAATACTACCCAGGAATTTATTTTAAATCCCATCTAATTCTAACCCTTAAGGATTTTACAATTCAAGCAAAGAGGATTAGCTCCAACCTCCCTGGCCCCTCTGCCACCTGGAACGCCTTTTCCTTTTCTCCTGCTGGGGAAATTCCCTACTTATCCTTCAAGCCTCAGTTCTAACATCGCTTCCTTTACAGATGGTCTTTTTTTTTTTAATTGATGAGAGAAACATCAGTTTTGTTGTTCCACTTATTTATGCATTCATTTCATTGGTTGCTCCTTGTATGTGCCCTGACTGGAGATCGAACCCATAACCTTGGTGTAACAGGATGATACTTGAACCAACTGAGCTACCTGGCCAGGGCTTTTTTCTTTCTTTTTTTAAATATTCTTTCCCCTCATCTTACTCAATATACATGACCCATTACAGGACTTTTGTTTATCTCTTTGCTCCTCTAAACACTGTGAGTTCCTTGTAACAGGGCCATGGCTTATTTATATCTGACCCAGGTCCTACTCATTAAGTAGATCTTCAAAAAATGTTTTAAATAAAGGTATAAACAAATTTGTGAAAAAATAGCCAACAGATGGATAGCCACATTAAGTTAAAAACACCTAGACTGACATTCTTTCCATACAGAGCTATAGTAGAAGCTGAAACTGGCAGCCCTCCTCTATTTTATAAACCAGTCTGCTTACTGGTAAGTGCTACCAGAATATTTTATAACAGTACTGAATAGTGCACTTTACCTGATAAACAGTCAAGAAAACCTGCTGCTGTCCATTTCTTCTGTCATGGCCTACCCAAAGTAATAATGGCCACTAAGCCACAATTTAGAGATGCCTGATGCTGGCCTAAGGCAATGGATACCTGGGGCTATGCTGCTGATTCTAAGACTACAGCTCAGAAAGAAAGAATGTGGTGATCATTAGGTGATGTCTGTTGAATGGGAAAGGTGGAAAAGGAAGTGGCAGCCCAGCATACTAGCCATCCCTGCCCAAGTCACAAAATAACTGAAGGCATTTTGCTCATACTAGACTTAAACCCAGGGAAGAAAAACCTGCTTTAAAGATTTAGGCATCCAGTTAAAGGCAATATTATATGAAAATAACATTGTATGCAAAGTTACTCAGTTTAAAGAGGAAGAATGAAAACACTACCTGCTGGTCAATGTTTTTAGATTTCCAAGTAAAACGGTATATACTGTCACCCTGACTGGTATGGCTCAAGGGTAAGAGCATCGCCCACAGACCAAAGAGACCCGGGTTTGATTTCGGCAAAGGGGGCGTACCTCAGTTGCGGTTTGTCCCCAGCCCTGGTTGGGGTTGTGCAGGTGGCAACCAATTGATGCATCTCTCTCACATCAATGTTCCTTTCTCTCTCTCCTCCTCCCTCTCCCCCTCCAGCTCTATCTGAAGATTAATGTAAAAATACATATATATATATATTTTTTTACAATATGTAATGGGTGAGGATTACAAAACAAAGAGAGAAAATACTGTCATATAATAAGGAGAGTCTGGTTCAGGCAGACTTCCTTAAATAACCTGCGACAAGCTATATCCCGTGAAACAGAACAACAAATACAACGCTAACTAATCTACTTGAAATGTGAGGAAGCAAGTGGAAAAAAAGCCAGCATTTACTGCAAGAGGAACAGAAACTCTCAAGTCTTCCCAAAAAGGAAGGAAATGAACATTTAATCTAAATAAATAATAACAACATTAAAGTAAATAGTTAAAAAATTAGTTACAAACTCAGTAATTTTCTTGGAATTAATAGTTGCGCTGGAACCATGACACTTTTAGGCAAATTCTAGTAAATAATTTCCTTTTGACTAGATGGAAAAGCCAAACAATATAAGGAAATGGCCAACAGAGAATCTACCCTCCACCCCCACCATTCTTGCTTTAACAATCAAAATTAAGTACTAAATATACTCTCTGTCACTGAAAAGAATGACTAAATGTCTCAGAATGGAAGGATGTTCTCAGATGGGAACCTATTAGCACATGAAGAAATTTCAAAGCAAAACCTTTAAGTCTTTCAAACCAACTCGAAAGGATATCAACTTTCTCTTTTACTATTTAGTTCTGTTGCAACTATACTGCACACACAATCATATTTATAGTTTATAAAACATGAATATAAAATACTTGGCTCTCAGCCTCTCCATAATAAACTTAAGAAAAATATTGTGTCACACTTGGAACCTACTAAGCATTTTTGCAGATAATCTGCTTCAGAATCATCAGGGATGCTTGCTAAAAAAAACATTCCAACTGAATTTGAATCCTTGAGATTAGAACCTGAATATCAATTTTCCCCCCCAAGTTCCCCAGTCATTCCTGTTTATTAAAGTTAAGAACCCAACTTCACCTTTCTTCCAAAAACCCTAGTAACAGTGCTTTAAGAACAATTGAAATATCAAAGAATTAGCGAAAGAGTGATGGAAGAGGCAACAGAGAACACTTTAATGGATGATGCTGAGACTCAGAAAAGTGACTTAAAAAAGGACAAGGAGCTAACGAGAGGCACAATCTGAACTAACCCTGTCCAGCCCTTTCCAGTCTACCCCACAGTCACTATGGTCTACAAGAGGAGTGAGTTGTCTCAAGTGAAAGGGATGGAAGGATATACTACATAATATAAATAATATGTTAAATAGCACATGGTATGGCAAGCAGTTTATACAACAGACCCCTAAATCATTTGCCCTAAAGCACTGCTTTTCAAGACAGGGTGAGAGAAAATGGTGGAGTGGGTTTTTGTTTTTGTTTTCTAGTTTGGCAAGGAATGAGTACTTATACATTTGATAAATTACTTAATCTTTGTATTTCTTTTTACACGACAGAGAAATGTATACTTTAAAAAAAATTTTTTTTTCTTTATTGAATTTTAGAGAAAGAGGAAGGAAGAGGGAGAGAGATAGAAACATCGATGAGACAGAACATCAATTGCCCCTCACTGGAGACTGGGCCCACAACCTGGGCATGTGCTCTGACCAGGAATCGAACAGGCGACCTCTTGGTGCCTGGGTTGACACTCAACTACTGAGCAACACCGGCCGGGCAGAAATGTATAACTTTTAAAATTAGGTGAATAGGTAGGTTATATAACCTAAAAAATTCACCCCAAAATACTAAAAGTGCATTACAAACTATTTGGTAATAAAAGGGTAGAGATGATGATTGCTAAAGGACAGCATGGCAAAAACCAGGTTAACAGCTCTAATTGCTATTAAACGTGCTCTTTCACCTGGAAGGGCAAAGAAAATAGGCAAAGGCAAAAAATTAACAAAGTCTTTTAGTCCTCTGGAGTGGGCTAGAATTAGCTCACTGTTAGAAATGCATAGTTCACACAAAGGCTCATGGTCCACTTGTGATGGGACCATGATCCTAACCTTAATAAAAGTTTTTTTTTTTTAAATTTAAAATGTTATTGATTTTTTTTAGAGAGAAACATCGATGTGAGAGATACATCAACCTGCTGCCTCCTGCATGCCCCCTACTGGGGATTGAGCCCACAACCTGAGCATGTGCCCCAACTGGGAATTGAACTGGGACCTCTCAGTCCATGGGACTACATTCAGTCCACTGAGCCACACTTGCCTTGCAACAAACCAGTTTTGCATGCCTCCCTCCAACCCATTAGAACACTAAGAAAAATTGGAAATCATTGTTCCTTATTTAAAGAAGATACAAGTATTATATCCTGTTTCAAATACAATTTTAGGACAAGAAAAGTAGAAATCTACCTTTACCTTCTTTGATTTGAAAAATAAGAATTACAGCCTGGCTGGTGTGGCTCAGTGGCTGAACATCGACCCATGCACCAAGAGGTTGCTGGTTCGATTCCCAGTCAGGGCACATGCTCAGGTTGTGGGCCAAACCCCCAGTGGGGGCCATGGAGGAGGCAGCCTATCGATGTTCTCTCTCCCTCTCCCTTCCTTTTTATGTAAAAATCAATAAAGAAAAAAAAAATTACAGTAACTCAAAAAGGCATCTGAAAATTATGAGTCATTTTGGATAGCAGAAAAACAGTTCAACTTTCAAAAAGTGAATAATCTGAATTACTTTGGGCAAAATTTTTTCTAATATGAATTTAAAACATTTTACTTCCTTAAACAAAACAATTAAACCCTTTCTTGATGAATCAGGGTCATTATTATAAAAATTGTCTTTATACTATGTTGTAACCTAGGAAGTCTTCAGGGCCTATTCATTGATGCTCTTTATTTTCCTCACACTGTACAGAATTCAGATTGCCAAAGTTGTACTTGTATCCCTCCCTCCATAGTTTGTCTTCTCTCTCTCTGAAGATAAAAACTGTCTTTTCCCCATGTCTTATTCAATGTGGGCTGCCACAACAAAATAACATAGCAGACAATTCTTGGGCAATCGAGATTAAGGTATCGGCATGAAGTGTTTCTGCTAAGAGCTCTCTTTTGGGCATACCTACCTTTTCACTGTGTTCTCACTTGGAGAAGCAGGGAGCAACCTCTCCAGCGTCTATCACCTTACAGGGACACTAATTCCATCATGAGGACCCTACCCTCATGACCTATTCTAAACCTGATTACCTCTCAAAAGCCTCATCTTCAAATATCACATTGGGGGTAAGGGTTTAACATCTGAATGGATGTGTGTGTGTGTCAAAGATTCTATCTAAACTTCTTTGTTGGATTTAGCCAATCGGTGATCCACTTATTAGAATGCTATGTCAAATAAGAGCAAATAGGCTGAGAGAGGACCTGATAGTTTTCCAATGAACAAAGGGAAGGAGCACACTGGCCGGTTTTGTTCAATGGTTAGAGTGTCGGCCTGTGGACCAGAGTTTTGGGTTCAATTCCAGTCAAGGGCACATACCTCAGTTGTGGTTCAGTCCCCGACCCTGGCTGGGGTAATGCAGGAAGCAACTATCAATGTGTCTCTCTCACATCAATGTCTCTC